GGTCTCCGATAAGCAGCAGATATGGATCGAGAGGGTCTCCAATGTTCGGGCAAGTGCTGCCTGTTGACTGATCTGTAGCAATGTGTGTGCATTGAGGCATGCCAGTCTGAAGAATGATTGAGGGCACTAAATGGAAGTCGATGATCTGGAGTGGACTGCTTGGTGTTGGACATGGGCTTGTCGACAGGACAGGAGTGACGCTCCGCGTCTGCATGTGAGTTGAAACTAGAACATAAACGACTGTTAAAGCAAAGTGGGGGAGGGCCATGAATCAGAGGATTAACAACTGGGGAGATTAAAGTGAAGTTGGAACTGGACCATAAGGGTGAAAAAGCGTAAGTGGGTGAATAAGAAGATGGGCGGGCTTGAGCAGTAGCATTCAAACCCCTATCCACCCTGCTCGATGCAGCAGATATGGCGCCGTTGTTTATCCTCTGTGGAGGCCAGAGCAACAAGAAATTGTTTGATGCAAAATTCATAGTATTGCATGGGCAGGATACTGTCAGGTTGCCCATACCTAGACAGGAGAATGGTTAGGGTTCTCACCGAAAGCCTTTGGTTCAAAAACCTGACCGCAAGGCAGCGGGTTTGGCATTGGGTTACAAGGAGTCCGTTTTAAGGAATAAGGAACCACACACATTCCAACCCCCAACTTGGAGGACCAGTAGGCTGAGTTTGTCTGGCCCCTAACCATTGCCCAACCTGCTATGCGTTGCTCTGAAGATGCAAAAAAGCACCACCCAGCATAGCTCAATGAATCTCTGACAAACAAACCATCACACCACGATGAGGTCCAGACTCATTTCGAATTCCGGTGAATCGATATGCTCTTTGGAATATTCTGCTAAAGAAAGGTGTGCCAGAGAAACATGTAAGTATTATCCTAGCATTATATGCACATAGCTCGGGCTGAGTGACGGCTTACGACAAGCTGTCGCTGCCGTTCAGTATATCCAGCTTTGTGAAACAAGAATGCGTACTGCCACGTTTCTTCTTCAACTGTACTATTAACGGATTCATGGAAATCGCGTTCACAGAACACGACTTATAAGGTGTGGAGCTGCTTCCAAGAGAACGACTTATTGACTTGGGGTATGCTTACGATATTGCCCTCATTTGTGACAGCTCACAAACGTTCCATGCGGCACTGTACATATTAGCACTGGTTGTCATTCACCTCGGGCTTTGCTTCGCACCATAAAAGTGCAAAGCTTTCCTCCAAGATTGGCGTGGACCGCCACCTGCACTGACCCTTGGTGTAGATTAGCTAGAAGTCGTTCAGAAATTCAAATGCCTGGGCACTTGTATCAGGGCCCGTGGGATTGAAGACGAGATCACATACCTTATAAGAAAAGCTCGAAGCGCTTTTGCTAACATTCACCACGTATGGCGCCTGCACGATATCACTCTCGCCCTGAAGGGTACAGTGTGCAATGCAGCGGTACGTTCGAACCTACTTTGCGGCTGTGAAATCTGGCTCGTTAGATCAGCAGACATAAAAGACTAGTTACGTTCGAGCATTGGTGCCTTCGCCGTTTAGCTCACATCTGGTGGGAACACCGCGTGAGCAACGAGCGTGTTCGACGACTTGTTTACGGCACAGGAAAAGGAAATGAACCGCTCGGCACCGTTATTTCACGTACCAGGCTCCGATGGATCGGCCACGTGTTACGCATGCCAACCCACCGACTCCCGCGACGTGCGTTGTTTGCGCGCCGGGGTTCTGGATGGAAGAAGAGGAAAGCTGGCCAACTGATAACTTGGTCGAGTGGAATGAAGGCCCTCACTTCGGAACTGGCTTAGGTTGGAGCGTCATGGCTCCCTGGTTGGGGTCCAAAAGACGATGATCACGTGTGGTTAGATACACTTGCATATATGGCTAGGAGCCGACCTCTGTGGCGTTCGTTCTGTGAGTTTCTTTGTCCCACCCCATCCCTCTTAGCCTACCCTCCAACCAGGATCTCACTGCTTAGCCTAATATAATTTTGCATGATACATTTTTTTGCTGCATACCAGCCGTCCATTAGCTTTCTGGAACGATGCGCGTCCGTTGCTGGTTACTAAGCTGGTATGAAACTGTTGCATTTCTTTTTTTATGTATTGCGGCACAGTAGCGGAGTTGTTTTACCTCTCTATCTAATGCGTATTGTGATGATGATGATGTTATGTTGTTCATATCAAGCAATTGTGCTTTATCGTGGTAGCTTTCGTTGACTTTTAGGCTATGGGAGTAATAAGCCAATCGTAAGCCGCCTGTTTTTATAAATCTTGACTGTGTTAACGCATGTAGAACCCACCCCTGTGTTCATCACGATAAGGGTCGTATATCCTGACTGCTGAGATCTTTTTCACTCTGTATAGTGGCTACGGTGCTTGACTTTAAATATTTGCTCTCCCTGTCCATGTCCAGGTTTGCTCTAATTATGGTACGCTAACAATATCTCAACTCGCGTACAACTGCTGGCGATCACATGACTGCTGCTGGTGCTCTTTGTTCGCTTTTCCTCTTTAACTTGCGACTGAAATACCCACGAATCACTTTCTGCAGGAGGAATGAGGAAAGAATGGGCATCGGCAGTAGCCGGCGAGTCGCGCCGACGCGTTGCTGTTGCGCGACAACCACTAGTTGTGCGGACATGCTAAAAATAGTGCAAAGTCGCCCGAGCCCACGCGGTTTTGAAACCGGCGACTTCTGGCAGACGGTTATCTCTTCTGCCACTGGCTGACTTCCTTACATTAGAGCTTTTTAATCTCCTGATCCTCCAAACTTCTAGTATGCGAAAGGATTTGTTGTCTTCAGGCTATACAAACGATACCGAATAAGCCGTCGACAGGTAAGTCTACTCGCTGGCTGTTTCGAAACATCGTCATTTTCTCTATCGTCGAATGGGTGAATACTCGGTTTACTTCAGCGCACCAATCATACTTGACGATCGTAGTGTTACACTGAGCTGAGAAACAGCGCTAACTTACTCAACGCAAAACTTTCACCGCCTCACTGCAATTCTGTTTGAAAACCCAGTGAGGGTGTTTAGCCAAGCGCATGAAGGACGCCACTCATTCATTGTAGCGCTGTGCGCCCCACAGATTGCCATCTGCCAGAACTCACTGGCACTGTCCGTGGGCCATCGCCGCTACAACATCGTGTTTATTGCCGGGGTTTTAGACCCTCAGATCGCCGGATTTGGTTGATGGACGTGAACGCGATGGTCAACAATGCTAAAGTACTCGTCGGGATGGGGTGGAGAGAGTGGAGCAACACTGCAACGTTTTGCCACTCACGATTTGTTTTTCTCGACTGCTAACCTTGAATTCTCGGCATGAATGCACCAACTGGCGACGCCCATCGGCTACTCAGTCATGGACACAGACTGATTGCATTGTTGTCTGAATCCGAAGTACCTATCCTACTCCTGACTGTGCTCTCATGTGTACTACGGTTGATCTACGTCTTATCGTTATCTAACAGTGCTGCGAGACTGTCTTTTTAGCCGTGAATTTGGAGCTCATTCTCAGGCTTTTGGGTGCACCGGACAAATATTCGTAGCTTGCTGCCCAAGTCTAGCACTTGTCTATTGACTGAATTAGCATACTGTGCACCACTTGGTTATCACACATTATTTCTACCCTATTGACTCATTTCGGATATAACAGCGAATCTAGAGCTTAGATAGCCATACAATGGATGCTACAGACTATAAAAATTTAAACCATGCTAAAGGTTTTGGCAGGAAATAACTGAACAGAATAATACGGGATATCATCTTAACCTTCTTACTAAAAAGTTTTGTACTCCCCAAGACAGAATTCAAAACAGTGTTTGTAGCGTGCAGACAGCGATCAGAAACGGTGAGGTTGTCGTCGGTAGTCTGCTTGAGATATAGTTGTCCCACTAACAGAACGGTGCTCTTGTTCCACTGCTCGCTTGAGTGAATGTGTGTTGTTCCGTTGTTATCAGTAGTATCGGATATACACTCGAGTTGACGCACAGTCGTTGACGATTAGCGCACATCCTTCGATCTCGCCCTACGTAAGCCACATTCACTTCACAGATAATCACTCATCAGCTGGACGCTTGGCTTACTCCCATCAAAGGATGGTCTCCGTACCGTTTTCTTGTTATGATTTCACGTGCATACATTCATCTGACTACATTTGGGACTGCGTGTTCTGCTTGGACATCACTTTTGGATGCAGAATCTCTTTCAAGCGGTTTCTATTTTCCTAGCGACCTGTTGCGCTTCTCTGAATGTTCCCCATACAATTTACACGTCTGTCCTTTTTCATCTGTGTCTGTCCAGTATCTCATTTTATAATCATTTCGGTGTATAGGCGCCGAATCCCCTACTCTCCACCTTTTGCGCCTCGTACACTATCGCCTGAGCTAGCTTGAAACACCTGGACTTTGGTTTGAACCATCCGACTGCCTTTATTATATGTCACCTGATCCTTTCGGGTCCTTTGTCTCTGATATTAACGAAGCCATATCGGCATTGCATGCTGACGCTTTATATGCCTACGGTAGATCATAAATCTTCTGCTTTCGGTAGAATGGAGTGTTTGGTTATCTGCAGTGCTGCTTCCGGGCACGTCACCTGACCACGTTTACAGGTTCCATGTTGGAATCGGCGGACACACTATATGTCGTTGAACCTTATTAAGCTACAGCTTGACTCATGTGCTTGGAGCAGCTTACCGTGACCGTGAACACAAGCGGGGTGAATGTGTTGAGTTTACTCGATATCGGAAGACAATTTCCTTCTAATTTTTTGGTTTCTTATTCCATGTTTTTGGCTCCCCTGCATCCACCAATGAGGTCTTATCCTCGGCCACTGTCTCACTTTCCTACTTCTTACCAACACCATCCCGGTTATTCATTGTAACATGCATTACCAAGCTTGCCTCCTACTAGAGTTCTGCTTCATTCGACTAATGCGCCTTCGTTGTGTGACTCATGGGGGTCAGTAATTGGTCAGCCAGTTAATCTTAAGTATTTCTCCATGACCTACCGACCTGATGCAACGCATGTAACTTTACGGCGTCTATCTGCTCCACTACTTCATATCGTACTCATATTTGCCAACGTTTCTAGGTTACAGCAGCGATTACGTTTCGTTCCTTGGAATCGTGATGGTTGGAAAGTGGGCCACTGCCTCACGCCTGCCATTGGTCTTCCCCGCAGCTTGCTGGTATTGTCCAATAACACTGCTATTCGCGAACGCTTCTCGGACATTTTGGAACGCTTTTGGAAGTTGTTTAAACGAAAGGTACGTGAATATGTTCCCTCGAGCTCCAGGTCTATGTGTGCTCATGGGTTAGTGAACAGTCAATCGGTGGATTGTGTGTTGCTCGTTCAGTATGCCTCCCGCGTCTTGTAGCCTTTTACCGTCTTGACACGGATGGTTCATTCTTATGCATAGTGGGTGATGGACCTCGGTTTCTAGATGCAGACACTTCCATTGTTGGGTGTAGAACTCGCATGTGTCGAAATCCACGGCTCCCTGAAAGGTAGTAATTTTCTGTAATTTAGATCCACTTTGGAGCTCAGAACGCAATCGAAGAGAAGTCAATAGCTCTGTGAGCATGAGATCACTAGAACGAACCGTGACTGATTGTTCGCGGACTTTGATCTGATATTCGAGTCAACTGTGTGATTAATGCACCCACGAAGGGGGAACATTCAGCTACAACACACCAACCCTGGATAAGGATAAGGAATGAAATAGAATACTACAATAGGTTAGGTACAAAATAGCGGTTCTTAAAAAGCGCTGACAGTCAATATCACTGGAGTAATTTACACACTAGTATTTGATTGACTAAATTTTGATACATAACAAATAAATAACAAGTGAAGTGCCATAGGCCCATGTAGCGACATATATACTTTTGCACATCTGTCTAATACATTCTGACAACGCCCCATGGAAGAGGTGACAACCATCGTTAAGAATTTTGGATGCGTGTTTATTGCGGAGGCTTACATGCCTCGAAATGTCGCTACATTGAGGTGTTTGAACTGGTAACCACTTTGAGGTTTTACTCAAGGGGCAACCGAAGATTCCTGGAGAGCAGTGGGTCTAATAGGGTCACACACATGTAGGATCACACAACAACGTACGAAAGAAGTCTTCAGACGAGTGTCCATAGAACAAAATTCCTCTAGCTTTAGCGCGTTTTTCGCTTACGTGAAGGGACCACTCACAGATAGCTCACCGACGTAGAAGACTTCGTGCGTTCACCATCGATACAAATTTGTGAGGTGGCAATTTCCTTTGAATTGTGAAAAGATTACAGCTTTTCTTTTGGCTATGTTAAACGATAGGCACCGGGCTTTGAACCAAACTGTGAAGTTTTCCAACAGAGTTTGTTTCCTGGTCGATGACTATAGTTGATTGACGTACATACAGGATTACGTCATCCGGATACTTTTACAAAGTGGCTTCCTCGGGGATTGAAATAACGTAGGTTCAAAATAAACATAAGGGCAGAATAGCTTTCTGAAATACACTGGAATCGCTGTTGAGTGAAGAGGACTTTCCTCAAGACCTAATAAATTGGGTTACGTTTTGTCGATTAATCCTTTAGCAGGAAGTTGAACTCCAGTGCCTAGCAGATCACGCAACAACATTTCACGATAAGCGCATCCTGAAAGCGTTACGATATTCCATGAAGCATATATGTGTGAATTTGTTTTAGCTATCCAATGATGAAAGCCATGGTATCGAAACTTAATCTTGAACTACGATACGCGAATTGATGGAGTAGTCTAAATGCTTCTGGGTTAACATTCTTCCAGGAATAAGTCTCTCAGAAGTCCTCAAAGCAATCGACGTGCAGACCGATATTTGTGGGGGGGGGGTGTTCTTCGACATCTGCGGGATGCTTGCGCTCTATCTGGTCTTTGATAGGCGACAACATAAGCGTAGCGCGTACAATTCAGTGGAAGGCTGTTTCAGGTACTCAACGCAGTCCTTGAAGACGATAGGAGATACAATTTGTCCGGACCCGTGTTGCGTAATTCTCTATGTACTTCTAAGCTACTCACAGAAGACGTTGCATCTGAGAGCTGTCATAATACAACAATGGATGTATCAGAGACTTAATTGCGGTACTTGCTTTCGTTCTTCTACATCCAGATTAGAATGCATAACCTCTCGGATGAGTCTGCTTAACTGTTTCCATTTACTTCTACTGCCAAAACTCTCATCAATTATCTGATCGTTTGTGAGTCTGACGCATTTGGTTGGTGTTTATCCCGTCACACAGATTAGTGCCAAGCGTCCAGGTTAACCTGTCGCTTTTCAGCGGCGCCTGGTTATTAACTTTTTCTTGATGGAAGCTCCTTTTGGACGGTCACTGCTGGGAGCAACGTTTTCACCTTAATCGGTGACTATTGGCGCTGTGAAGGATGCCTTATTTGACTAGGTAGAAGTTCCGGATTAGTTGGTTGACTGAGATCAAATGTGATTCTGGCTTTAAGTATTTTTGGGGACTTTTATCTCCGTATGAGAACCCATAGTTACGGAGATTGTCATGGACTAGTCTTTGTCCGAAGCCGGGCAATTCACTAGAAGCGAAGACACCGAATTTCAAATTTCACAACCTACTACTAGAATGTACTTGCGTCATCCGCGGGAGCTTACTTTCTCGTTCTAAGGTATAATAAGGTCCACCCAAGGCCCATTTTGCCACGTGAACCACCATGCATTGACTATTGAAACCGAACTTGCCACAAACTTCTGCGCTTGATTAGAAAACTCAAGATGTGACCTTTCTTTATCTGGTCACTAGTCAACATTCAGGCAACTATTCCGATTTTATGTTTAATTCCTTGAGTTTCACCCACCATTTTGATTTACTCACTTTCAGGCCCATTTACATCACTACACTAGTGTGGATGGCTTCGAATTGGAAATGTTCACGACACACGCCGAGTCCATCGCAGACTTATGCCACCAGTACGAAGTGTTGGAACAAAGGGCTGATTGCGACACTGGGCCACGCCTTCCTAGACTTCAGATTTGTAGCTGAGCATCGTATTCCCTATGCATTTGCTTGTAAATATACCCCTTACTTTTCCAATTTCATCACTCTCCTCGGATAAGGCAACGGGGAGCCTACAGTTTTTATGGTCTTTCTGCTAAACGTTCTTGCATCCTGTATGTATGACCCACCATTCATCCTTGCGTTGTGAATGCGATCTGGTGATTCTTCGTTATTGTTATCATCGTACAAAGTAATGTTTCAATTTTCAGTCACGTGGCTTTTCTATGCGGCAGAAAGGCAAAACATTACCAAACACTCGATGATGGGCCTCTGCGTTGCTTACTCGGTTCTCCCATTAACATTTTACGTGCATCGGCAATCAATAATCGTCGATTTCATATTATCTTTAGACCGCAGTTGCCGTGTATTTTTTATCCTTACTGATCGCGCCTCGTTGGCATTTCACACCGTTCGCGTACACCGTCTCCGTAAGTAACTGAAAATTTGAAAGGTCACATCAACTTTAGCCTAATCTTCCCAGTCATACGACCGATCGGTGGCGTTAACCCACTATGGTAATAATACCTTACGCAAGCGTCCTAATCGGATCAAATGGATTCAACTTAACCACCACCACATCATCTGTAGAGGATGTACACCAACTAGAGATTACCGCTCGATCTAGTGCACACCCATTCTTCTTGTGACCTAGTGCGCTGGCCCATAGCTTTGAGGATCACAAGAATGCCTTGTAATCTGAGAGTGCGGGTTCGAACGTGCGTAAGGACCAAGCGACCGTCGCAGGATCCTTAACCCACTTGCGACTTGTGGTGGTTGCGCGACAGTGAAGCATCGGTATTACGCACCTGCATACTGCTGATGCCTTTAGTGCGCATTTGCGTAGTCCTCAATATTTCATCATTGGCAGAGCATTTGTTTCTCAACTGTTGTCTTATCCCGCTACACAGTATTACCCTCCGTAACTGTCTTCGCTACCAATACCAAAGGATGTAAACAAACTAACTGTGACTTTTTATTGCCTCTAGTGCGCAAAGCAAAAGCATCTGAGTTTGCTTGCTACTCCAGCTTGACGCTTCTCATTGATAGATAGATTCCTAAATTTTCCATGTGTAAGTTTACAGCATTCTAGTTGGATCCATTGGTGTTCAGTTTTGCGTCTGCAATTCTTCAAAATGGTGCCTCTCTAAGCACTTGATGATTGACGGTAAACTTTGTTACTCCGCAATCGAGAATGTTGCATTGTTCCCTTAAATCAATTCTACGAACTGCACTAATGATTGCTTTCCAGAGTAAAACAGTAGCTCATTATGGTATCGTCCGATTCTCGCTCATGTCGCCTTGAAGGCCTTGCTGGGGATTTTGAAAAGCGATTATATCGACGACGATGGTTACATTTATTATTAATAATAATGAGGTATATTTCTCGTGGTACCGATAAACCGCGCCCACGAAGAGACGGATCATATTTACATTGCAACATGCTCAGTCATGCGAGGCTGTCAATTGTTTGGGTTTTTACAGTGTTGCAATAGAGATGTTTTTGCGAATATTTTCATTTGAGACTTGTCGCCGTATGCTGCCAGTTTGCGGGCATTCACATTTGGTTGTTTTCGGTGCAGCTTGGTGGTGCCATGATGGCGGCGGTTTGATGGGAGCGGGGAAGAGAGTATGAAAAGAATGAAACAGTTGTATTCACCAATCAAAATCAAATAAGTAATACACAATCTTACTTAATAGACTGCATTAATACGGTTGGAGCTATTTGTGAGTAGCAAGTTAGGGAGTTGCGAAAATAAGAAAAAGACTGTATTAAGGTAACTCCAGGATATCATCATACTCATGTTACTTTATCAGAATAATGTAGGCAGTATTCACATCGTAGGGTCTTAAAGTATAGCGTAGTGTCTAGATATTCCTTGGTCTAGTTATGGAGTTGAACTAATCAAGTTATGTTTTGGGCTGCCGGTTGGTTGAGATGATGCGTAAGCTCAGTTGCATTAATTTCAGCCTTCGCTTGTAGGTGGATAATTAGGGCGTGTGTGACTATGTTGAAAAGGGAGAATTATTCAGATAAGCAGACAAAGAAATAAACGCCTATTCACTGCAAAGTCAGGACTTATTCAGTGGATCGTAGTCTTATAGATGTCAAAGACAGGGTGATTAGGAAAGTGTGCAATAGTTATGCTATTCTTGGTGTACAGATATAGAAGACATGCACCACAACTAAGAGCGAGGCTGTGGTCTAAGGAATAAGTTAATGGGAAATATCGGTAAGACAGTAAGACGGTAGAGATGAAGTAACTAGGAACCCGGAGCACAACCGATTCAGTGCAGAATGGAGTAGGGTAAGAAAAACCAAGTGAAGTAATACGGTCATTCGTGGAACCCTCTCCCGGGAATCTGGTTCCATGCGGAATAGTCCTTCGAGAGGTTTCCCCCGCCTCCACACCCCATCTGGTCATGTGTCGGTGTGGTTTGAAAGCACGCTGACCACTACCGGTTTCATTCATCATTTGGGTACTTGTTTTTTTCTGGTCAGCTAGTTACTCAAACCAGTCAATTCTTTCCTCATTCATAGTTTTTTTGCATGTATGATGACCGGGATCACCGGTTGGCGTCATATGCCATTAAGTGTGAGTTCAGATTGGACGGTTTTGTTTAATTTCAGCACACTTTTTATTCACCGGTGGGTCTTTTGGCGTGGGTATACTTGTTGCTTAGAAGCTTCAAACCATCACCTCAGGAGATCGGCCCACTCGTGAGCAACAGAATAACAGGAGAATAAGATGAAATATTTAAACCAGGGGGTAGAAATATCAACAAAATAAGTAGCCAAATAGCATGTCTCGCGAGATTGTGGGATGCCATATGATTGGGTGTGATAAAATAGTGTAGCAGTTCATAATAGCAGGTAGCGTTATTAATGTGTTGGCTTCTCCTTACAATACGCACTAGGGGATGCAAATTATCTGGATGCCATATGACAGTAGAATATTTACCATATACGAAGGAGTGATAAAACAAGAGATACTTTTTTGTTTCTCCACCTACAAGTGCAACTTCAAGGGTGGCATTTTCCAGCACAATGTATTCTGGAGTGCAGTGAACTTGCATTATTGGTCATATGTTGTTTGGGCCTGGTGCAATTAGCACATCTGTAGGCCGAATGTTTTCATTATGTTCTGCCTGTTGAGAAAAACTCGCAAGTTCATTTTAAATTTGGTTAGGTTCTCACGCCCGTACTTTCAATGGTAGCTTGTTCCAAATGTGAGTATACCTTACCAGGAAAAGTTGGAGCGGATCTTTAACTTCCTCTTTTTTATGGTAGTGAATAACCCCTATTTCTTGCGGGATTTGTTAAGGAATTTTGCAAATTGGGATCTATTTCGATAGTGAACACCCGGCAATGTATGATGTTGTAAAAGAGCACTAGATTATTTCTCAGGGCCACCTTGGACTATATCGTTCTCATTGTCGTTTGGAGCGTGGTAAGGTCGTCTCTTTCGTATACGAGGTGAATGTTCTATCCAGCTGTTTCTAAATGAACCACTAATTCCCTATTCCAGCATGCCTGCTCCGGTGTTACCCTCTAATCCGCACCCAGTTGATCAATGATCAGATTTGTCTTACGTACTCCCCGATGGGAATACCCTTTACCTCTAGGGCGTTGACTCGTTTCATCCATCCGATTGTTTCACTAATTGTTATTGGGTACAACGGAGCGTTTTCTTTCCTTCTTGTACTCCGCGATCGAGGCTTTTTTACACCTTTAATCTTCATGAAGATATCATTGCGGCAACTAGTGTTTTGCGCGTTTCCGATTTGCATTGGCTTCACAGTGCGGCATTTGTTCAGTCCTGACTCTCCTCGTACAAGCTCAGTTGTTTTATCGTTACACAGTCTTGCGCACGCAATTATCCCCCTGGTTTTCTTGCGCCACTCTCTGGTGTCCTCCGGTTTCACCGTTTACAGGTGTTACTCCACCACCGTATCCGTGCACATGGGTGCGCCATTTTTCTATTCATTTTTAATTTGCCCGGCCTTGCTACCGAATCCCTGCCTTACGCTTTCGCATACCTGTATCCACTGATTTCCGGCCATGTGCACGCAGTATCCTACTTTCCCCGTTATATTGAGTCACGCAATACCTAAGCACCCATGTGCCAGGATATATTGTGAATTCTGAAACAACAAGGATTAACGGATCTACTTGAATGTTCACCTTGAGACGCATTCCCAATGTTGATCGGTTTTCCGCTTATGTCGGTGTGTGTGTAAGGGATGTAGCACTCCGTCCGGGGTTGCCTTCGCAACTTGAGTGTGTATCAGAACACCACAGCCTATGTTTGTTTGGCAAGTATGTAAGTATGTCTGAGAATGCCTCAAGTGCTTTCATGGTGTATTTCACGGTTAAAGAGTTTGGTTTCAACATTATCGTTTTGTCTTTATGTGGAAACGGGGTTAGGAGTGGTCTAACAGTCAAGTGCTCTTTGACAGGGCTAGCAATGTATTTATTTGCATTTTACATTTTTTTACCAAAGTGGTTTTTTGTTGTGGTAATGTGTCACTCGATTCGTTGGGATATGGTACGCTTCACTTGGCGGTCATTGAGTCAGGTGTTATTTAAAACGTTTACTAGGTTCCGAAACATTTCTGCGAGCGAGGTAACTCAACCCAATGACGACGTGATTAAAGGATTTGTCTCAGTTACCACTGTCTTTTCTCGGTTATCTAATTAACTCTTTGTTAAAAATATAAGTGGGCGATTTTTCACAAAGCGGGTTCTCCTGATGCGGCGGCGATTGAGCGGCTTTGACAGTGGTCTCTCGTTGTGTAACCAATCCAAAAGTATCCAACAGGGTGTGCAGCGATAGGCGCACAGGAAGGCTGGCTGGCGTGGAGGGTTCCCCGTGGCGCGGTCGAAGTTGATTGCCATGGCGAACCCATGTGTCCTCATCCACGGAGACATCATACAGCATGTCACCTCGCCTGGCCGTCACGGTTGCTTTCATCCAGCGTGGATG